ATATATATATATATATATATATATATATATATATATATAGCCGTAGTATCTGAGAGAAGCGTGTCTCGTAGTTTGTGTGAGGCAAAGGAAACTGGTGTTTCTCACGCATGACTCTAGGTCCGGAGGCAAGGTGCTCCGAATAAGCGAACAAGCCGACCCGACAGACATGGCGAAACTGCTACGGACCAGAAAGTGTGTCTTGTCCAATTCAAATCAACGGTAGATATACGAGAAGGAAGCTGCTGTCAGTTGACCTAATCCTATATTTGAAAAGTACGATGCCACGAAGAACTTGAATCTGCTCGGTAGAAAGAAGGCAGCAAGCGTTACAGTACCTACTGTGCATGTATACGTGCTCTTGTGCATCATTATAATAAAAAGTCTGCTAAGTTAAGACCTAATAGTTCTCTGCTAATCTGCTTATTGAGGGACCAAGACCAAGTATTCGCGCAGTTGAGTACATTGAAAGGTCACTCCCAGTAGTTGACTATTCTGAAGGGGAAAAAGCTCCGTCGGACGAAGGTTCTTTGATACCGCTTACCAGGTGTGAAAGTTTGTAGATGTTCTGCTATTTTACGCTGGAGTTCATCTAATATAACTACTTATCACCCTGGGAAGCTGTTTGATGCACCTTCTGACAAGTTACCACTTTGTTCGGGATTGAATGAAGTCCAAATTGCAGGCATTGAAAGCTTTTTATTCGTTCGCTATCCTGTTGACATCTTTTCATACAATTCATTCGACTCAAATTCATAGTCGAACGTTTTATGCAGCCCGAACGACTTGACGTTGATCCCAATGCATTAGACGTGAGCAGACCATGACATCACGGGTTCTGCACATCATCAACGCTCAACGCAAACAAGCTGAAAATTCTGTAACTTCATCTCACTCAGTATACTGGAGCTAGCCGTCGAATGGTACACTGGGTAAAAGGCGATCGAGACGTTCGAAAGGTGGACGTTCGCAACATGCAAACTGCAGGCTGAACAGGGTCCCGTACAGTACGTACTGAAATATTTAACTGGTTATTGTAGTTTCCAAGCCATCACCACGAAAGTGTCTAAATGTCACCTCAGAATATGCTTTCACCACAGACGCTGCAGACGATATTGCAACCCGTATTCCGGTCTTTGACTTGCTGAACAGTCCGCCGTTGTGCATAAGAAAACAATACAACTAGAGACAGTCAACAATGGGAGCAAAAGATGGTCACAACGTAAGTACAATGGTTTGAGAAGTTTTGATAAGATCACGCGCCGACCGAAAGACGCTCGATCTCTTTGGCTCACATTTTGGCCAATCAGTCAGTACTTGGCGGGCGACACATCCGTCCAGTCTACGTGATGCTCGGTTATTCAGATATGCTTGCCTCCCGACAACTTCCTCTTGAGATCGCTATTCCCAAGGCCACTGTTTTAATCTGCCTTGATCGCTCGGTAACAACAAACTGTGCGACATTAAACAGTCAGTTTGCCTTGAACAGCCGTCCATAATCGCACACACAGAGACCTGGCTCACACCAGATTTCCCCGACGCGGAAATCCCGATAAACGGCTACTCTGTTTTTCGGGCTGACTTAAAACGAGATAGAGCTTGTGGGGTTGCTCTGTACTTACATATGGGATAGTCTAAGTGGCTAGAGCGGAAGGTCAGTGGTTCGTACCTGGCAGTACCTCAGTCCTCGTGCAACCTTTGGGTGGCATGGCAATTAGGTAATAAAATAGTGCTGCAGCTGAACGACTTATGTATGTATGTATGTATGCAGCCCTGCATATCCCGATTATCGTCTATATAGATGATGGTGTCATATGACACCACTGAGGGGTTCAGGATCCTGAAACATTTTGCGATGCACTGTGGATCCAAAGTCCCGCTGCGCAGGTCAGATTCTCTCTCTCTCTCTCTCGCTCTCTCT